ACATGACACAGTTGCTGCAATCAGACACGCAGCATTAATGAGATTACACACCACCCACTGACRCTAGTTCCCGGATGGGTGATCATTCGGGTTCTTAGTGGCAAAAACCTTGCCRCATATGAGTTGTCAACCTACCGACGATACTGACTCTTACAACAGCTAATGGCCATAGTTGTTGGACTCAAAACCAATAATAAAAATAAAAATCTACTAAAAAAAAAAAATAAATCACTCAAATAATTGATCATTAATGTTAAATAATATTTAATATTATTTTTAATCGACAATGTTTAATACTATTTCAACAAATTTGGAAAATAATTTTAGCCTTATATAACCTTTTCATTGTACCAAATAATTATTCTTGATCTGAAATTTCAAGAAGTATAACATAGTAGGTATAAATATTATAAGTGTAAAACGTTATTTTAATGAGAAAATTAAATAATTTAAATATGGTGTATAGAATATAGTTGTACACCTATATACTTCAGTATATTTAATAAGTGAATTTTCATGATTTTTCAGACGCTACAAATGTGTGGTATTATTTCATCAACATTCAACGAAACTTCTGAGTTACTTTTATGTCTTCATATATGTTATTAAACGTAAATTAGACTTTTGCAGCAGCCTTCATACAAATCATTATTTTAATACATCGTTACGTAATTGGTACGTTCTCAGTAAACTAATATTACATTTTTCTGAAATTTCTGAGAGGGCTTTATGTTGCCCTCTAAGCTACCCCTCCCAAGCTATTCTATTGATTACATCCAATAAGTTATTTATAGTCCTTCATGTATGTTTTAATACACAATAAACAACTATATAATAGTGTATACCAAATACAAAATCAAATTCAATTTATTATTAAAACATCTTTATTATAAGTTAATGTTTACCAAAAATTAACTTCTCGTAGGCAGATTATGAAAATGTCATAATTATATTGTTATAATGTCAATTGCATCGAGCAGTTAGGTCAGTTTTAACTCGTTTATGATAATATAAATTATAATTGCATTTTAATCCAAACAGACTAATTTATAAATTCTCGCGGTAGTCGGTATATCATTACAGTTAATACAAGTTGTAAAAGGGTTTAATAACTACTAAATAATATAACATTTCCTGTACATATTATGCTGCGATTAGTTTTATCTCTAATATTTACAGCACGTTTTGAAATTAACATTATCTACCATTATATATATGAAAAATAAGTAGTAATCAAAMTAAAATAAATCCAAGAATTAAAAATTACTCTTAATGGGAAAAAGGACGGGAAATGTTTATAATTTAAAACCTCGGGGAGTTAATACCTTTTTCGCATTCAAGTGCGAACCTACCTACGGAGCTACTCGCGTTTATAAACTCTACAGAATGTTGTTTATCTATTTCTGATGGAAATTTATTAATTYCAAACAAATCAGCTAATCAGGAAATCAATTTACGTTTTCATTAAAATATACTATTGACTATTAACTCTGCTAAATAAATATGTTCATTAATTCTTCCTATTAGTTATTATTTATTTTAAATTATACATATATATATATATATATAAAACAGCAGTTAGATTGCCTGGATATTGCTTTGATGGCTGGGAGTAGGGGTGTGCCGATAATTTGTTATATATCAGGGAGCCAACGAAGCTTAACTGGATTCTTCAAAAGTTTGGTATCTGATACCGTGGACCCTTGGTATATAACACGTCTTACATTATGTGCTCATAAAACTCTAAAGCCATTTTTAAATGATCATCCGATTTTGGAGCTGCCCCGTCGACTCTATTGCTATGTTGAAGTCGCCACGCACTGCAACGATAGCTGTAAAATGTGTCCGGCTTCATTTTGCCGACATCGCTACCGCTACCGCTGCAGTAKTATATGTATTATTGTGATTTTAAATTTAAACATACCTATAAACAAATATATTTAATGGGAAATGGCTAATGCACATAGTATAAAAAATATTATTTTCATATAATAATTTTAATTCAATTCGTAGAAATATTTTTTGCTGTTTATTAACATATTATACTGTTTATTATTATTATTATTATATTGAGTTAAGACTTCAACATCTATGGTTATTAATCATTATATAGCCTGCAGGTTATTTAGTAGGTTTTAAACTTAGGATATGATACAGTCGGTTAGAATTACGTGTATATGTGACGAGAATTTGTCACTAAAACCAGGGTGGTCACCCATTCAGTAACTTGTAATACTAGTTGATGATTGGCCTCCGAACACGTTTGTGACTGAGGCCAAACACTGCGCTTCACCTGGCAACTTATTAATTTATTATTAATATACAATAATGTATAATGCACAGTATTATACCTATGYGCATTGTGCAATGTACATGCATTTGAAATGTAATTTAAGTTTTACCTTGAAAATGAACTTTTATCTATGCCATGGTATTATATATTTTAATGTTTATGTTTATGTGCCTAACTAATTCAACTAAATATTTTATAAAATAACAGTAAAAATAAAAATGTAATTTTGTATTCTGAATAATTATATATAGTGAATTCATATTAAAATGATATAGTATAATATATTATTATATCATTACGGCATACCTATCTATATACATTTTATTAAATTATAACGGAACACAACTGTTGGTTCATGTGTAAAAATAAATAACCCAAGTAGGATTTGTAGATGACAATTTCATATAATAAAATATTATACTATATGGCTACATCGATATAATTCAAGATTGTCGTAGAAATATCAGGCCACTATAAAATTTGTTCATCTTGGCAATAAAATTATTAGATAACCATAATAAATAACACGATTTACTTAATGATTCWGAAGGTTACAGAAATTGTAACTGATATGATCATAGTTTGACATGTTTTATGAGATTTGGTAAAAACACTATTGTGGTGACATTTGTCCGTATTCAACATTCAACATAAAAAAGCTATAAGTAATAGATAGGTATGACAATATGAAACTATATTACCACAATTAGTTACAACATAATATGAGTTACCTGCCTATACCTATAAACTATTATTTCTGGAACAAAATGTACCATAATTTTGAAAATTCAATAAAATATTCTTCAATTTGTATGATATCCATATTATAACGATACCACATTCATCGTTATGTTTTATCATAATTCATCCAATGTTAGTATTTATCAATTAATATTAATAATTTTATTTAAATATTTAAATTCRGCTTGTTTGTTGTTGTAATAAAAGTAATTATTAAATATTGAATTTGGAAATGTTTAAAAAAATTATCTTCTTTATATTTATATATTCTCTTCATAATACTGTAGTAATATATTTTTTATATAATAAACATTTATAAATAATATGGGTATAAATATATATAATATATATAATATTTTGGGAAATGATTTCTTATATCAGGAAAAATATTACATTATTTGACAATGCTTTTTGGATAATTTTTTTAATAAAAAAACCTATTTATCTTACTTATCAAAAATAAATTGTGTATTGTACAAAAGCTAAAACTATTAGAAAAAAAATATTATTTGTGTCAAAAATTAAATAAGTTAAACTGATTGATATTATCTTATAAATTAATTTATTAATATTCAAATAAGTAATACTTTAAAACGATTTAAATATAAAAGAAAACTATATGTGTTTATACTGCTACTTATATTGCACAAAATCTATAAAGCTCAATATAAAATATTGTACAACACATAATTATAGATGGTATAGTTACCAAACGGAACATTTTAATGTTTGACGTTTGTATGAGATATATGTATTAGTTTAAATGTAACAATATTTATTTATATTATTAAATAGAAAATATAAATTTTCGTTCAACGAAGAAAAAGAAAGAGAGAGTGAAAGGGAAAAATATAATAATTAATAATTAATTATCAATAATTTAATATTCAGGTAATTAATAATTATTACCTAATAATGAATGTTGATTTACAATTTCATTAGCTCACAAGACTGCGTTAGTTGTGATATAGATCTACACGATATGTTGGTATGATAATATAATAAGCTATAAATTAGTTTTATAATTTTTTTCAGAATACTTAATGGTTTTCGCTCTTACCTTCTTTCGGGCACAACAGAGCATTTCAGCAGACGATCGTTTGTTCGTTGATGCTGCTCTAGCCGTTACCATTTTGCCATAATGCCACCGAGGAATTCAGGCACCCGGAGCACCCGGTGTTCCGAATACGAAACACGACTGTCCCTTTCGAAAGAAGTGCGCTTCTATCGGTGTATATGTTATCACTTTGAACGTAATGCGTGTGATGTGATGTATATACCTGCATGCACGAAGTACCTATARTATTTATCGTGCAAAAATATCCTTCGACGAACCCTGATAAAAACATGCGTGTTGTGTTTACAGCGCCGAGAACACAATAATTATGGTCATCGTGGCATACTGACTAATCTGGAGTGAAAAGCGCTGGCGCGCGCCGGGTGGTTCGATCGATAACCGTACAAAACCGCTTTGCACCCTCCGCAAGTTAGTTTCGAGGGGGTGAGAATATAATGAAATGAAAAATACTAGTCATCAATCGCAGTGTACTATATATATATATATATATATATAATAAAATATATACACAAAAATACAATGCATATATAATAATGTATATCAATATGCCAATACCAATGATTTTCCAACGTGGGTTATAAAATATATGCAACTAATTATATATATTCAATATTTATACATATTATTTATTATAGGTATTATATATATTTCTATTTTCTATCCTTTCTATCCTCTTATTGGTATCGTCAAATACATAYCTAACTAGTAGCTATGTATATTATAATTAYCAATAATTTTTTGGTTTACCGGATGTTCGAATAATTTAGTTATTTAGCCCACAACAAAAATTGCAAGCTTTTAATGATAAAACAAATGCCATATCAGTTTAATAAATGTATATAATAAACATAATAAAGTGTATAAAATCATTTCTTTTTTAAATTAGAATTAGTTTATAATATAACCATTATATTATACATTGTTAAGTATTATAATATATATGTAACAATATTTCAGTCGTTCGTTAAGTAGATACATCCAATAAATAAAAATAAAAATAATTGACCGTCCTTAGCCATCCCGTCTAACAAGCAGCAAATAATGAAAGTGAATACGTTTGGGCGTATATCGTTGTTCCGTCCACGTGGATTAAATTCAAATTWTCTGTACAATTAGACCATCTAAAAAACAAAATAGTTTTATTAATGCATATACAATATAAACGAAATCAGCGAAAACACGAACAATTATCATTCTAAGCACTATAGATACTTACATGTTTCCTTCAGTGTCAAAAATGGATACCTTGTCCACAACCACATTGACATTACTGTTGAGCCCATGCTTTTCGTTTTCAGTTTGATAAGCTAACGATTGGAAGCTTAACTCGACATTTAAATATTTTTGTACAGATTTTTCATATTTAGCAACTGAAAGTCCTTCAGCTAAAAGTCCGCCCGAAATATAATCCGTATATCTGGAAAAATATGAATTCGATTCAGGTAGGTATAATTGGTATAAGTATAACTCTGAYGTGAAAAACGGCTGCATTGGTTAATTTCAAAATACAAATCGTCATTCTGATACCAAAATTAAACATAATATGGCAATAATTATTACTTTGTTCGTAGCTTAAAATTTGCCGTATTGTCTCCATCTTCTAACGATATTTGCAAGTAACCTCGAAGTTTAGATGTTTTTGGAGATATTAAAACGGATGCCTTAAGCTGTCGCCCTAGAATGAAATATATATACCATAAACAATTTATTGTTAATACCAAATCGACGAGYCACATCACTTATTCACTTACCGCAAAATGGACTTGAGTCTCTAGTTGTCAAATACARTGGACCGCGGAGTTTCGATTGAGATGCCGCAAAACCCATGGTCACACAATTTGAATCTACGAAAATGTGATTGAAAAATTTTATGAAACAATTATTATATATACTAAACTATACTTTTCGTTATTAGTGTATTAATGTATTTGTATCATCTTATTTAATATTTTGTATTTTGTGTTTGTTAGCTTATATAATATATAGTTATATATGTTTAAACCAATATTTCTTTTGGCACATACTAATTAAATTATAACAATCTAAAATAAAACACAGTGTCAAATACACCAAAATGCGAAAAGDAAATCACATTCACACTTATTAACACGCGTCRCTCGTGAGTAACATACTAATATATTAATGTACGAATAGTTCCTATTAGTATATATAATAATTAATAGTGTTAATACAAATCTCTATTTCGTGAAAGCGAAGAACTGAACATTATTTATTGAACTATCGATGTTTCATAGTAATGGCCTAGTATTTTTTTATTTTTCGGAAAAATATGAATAATTTTCAAAATGGCCAACGAATCATTATAATATAAATAACATATTAAAATATTATCAAGTATAAGAATAAATGAAGGTGCGCTGTGCGTAAATCTTGAAGATGCATATTACATTATATTTGTGGWGATGAATCATATTATAATATATATTAAAATTTATAATAGGTTAGGTACCTGTGCAATTTGTGGGGAAACACTCGCCCCTTTGAAACATTGACCATCCAGCAGGGCATGGAAATGTGGTAAACTGACATGCATTAGGATCTGATACAGCTTTGAGACTTTCTAAGAAGAACTGTAACGCCCGAAGATGATTACATACCACGCTTGAGTTCATCGTTCCCTCTATTATACACACACACACATATATATATATATATATATATATATATAATTATATATATTTACTCGTATATATACATTAGCATAACACTTAAACAGTAAATAATATTTGCAGGATATCCTGAATATCCTTTGTCACTTTACTCTTATTATTAAGCAATTTAAAATGCTTATAATATAGACAAAAAATAAGTGTTTCAATGTTCAATAGATAATATTTCATTCGTATAAATAAATAAGTCAAAATATTCATAAAAATAATCATGTTTAGAGTAGAAAATGTTTTTTTWWAAAAACTGCATCTAGACATTCGAATAAAAACAACGTGCTTGCTAAAAATGCACCACGCTTATTGACGCATGAACCGGAATCGCGTTATTCGATATATATATAGTACATAATATGTGACCTATATAGTATTATATATCTTATACSACTTACCGAACCGGCTTAAGATTACCGAACCGCGGACTTGTTCACAGCCTGGCTGGTCGAGACCGCCGTTCGGGAAGTAGTCGACGTCACCAATCGGGTTGAACAGGCCGAACCCCTCGGACCATATCCTGGCGCCGTCTGTGTGCACTATGTCAACGAACGCAGCGTCGTCTGAACTCAGTGACGGCAGCGAGGCCGACAACATTTGTCTGAACAGCGGRGACGCGGGATCCAGACCTGTACCAGATCACAAAATATTACTAAACGTATACATATACAACCAGTGGCGTATTTTGGGTGATTTCTCGGGGGRTGTCAACATTTATTGAACCTCGCAAACAAAATTTTTTGTTTTATTTACTAATGTTAAAATATATTGAATTAATTTTTTAACAAATTAATATGTTAGGAATTGACAAGAAGTTTTACATTTGATAAAAATAGTATACTATAAAATAAGTGAYAACACTAATGTCCAATATATTAGGACTTYTTTTTAAATRTCGGGGGGTGTCAAGACATGGAGGACACCCCCCCAAAATACGACACTGCATATAACGAACGCACCAAATCGCCCGCAAGCTGATTTATTATATGCAAGATTTTCAAGAAGGAAAATTCGATGAGTATCGAAACGTATAGTTATAAATTATAAGTTATAATATAGTCGTGTCCGAGTCCGAGTCCGATACGAGTCGGTGTAAGTTTCGTTGCTATGTCACTCGTTGTGTAACTTATTGAACGCTAAGTATAATTATTAAATCCATACATTTCGATACACTCCAATTCGTCCCTCAAAAATCTCAATATAATACCAACTGGACATACTGGRGACCCCATGCTCACCTGTAATTCTGCCGACGCGTATGTCGATCAGTTTCAACGCCTTTCCCGCGAAACCCGCCACGTGGGCYCCGAGGCTGAACCCGATCATGTGAATTTTTGCCGGGTCGCTGTTCAGCGCCACCATATCCGATATCAATATCGCCAGCTGACGTCCGATCAACTGGGTGTTGGCGGCCGCTAGTGCGTAACCCGGCCCGGCGGCTCCCTTTTCCCAGTCCACGAAAATCACATTAGCGTCTTCCTGTAGCAGTGCAACCGGTTTAGATGAAAAAGGTAGACATTGCGTTTAATTCTTATGAAAAAATCACTGATCTATAGCCACGCCGTGCGCCCAAGTTTATAAATATAGTATATAATATAATAGTATGTATGTCTACAGACTGACCAGGTCCAGGAGCGCGTTGCCTAGAAGTTTTGCCACCTTGTCGTGTCCGCTGCCTTTGAATCCGTGGATGATGATTTTCGTCGGTAGCTCAGGCCTGAAGTTAGAGTTGTTCATCGAAACGTGCTGATCGCCATACGTGACCAAAATCAGATTGCTACGATTCTGTCGGGTCATAACCAGAAATTTCGTATCCACCGTRTCCGGCGACTGAGGCGATTTCATGAGTGGCGAATAATTGGTCCGGGGTATAGGGAAGCATCCCACCATGTCTGCAACATTGTTGTTGACGTATGGTTGTTGAAAAATAAAAAACAGCAAAAATAAAAATCCCATCGGCGGGTCTTATAATATGTGATGTATATAGAGTGCGACATTTTGTAATATATGCGTTGCACGTATCGTCAGTCGTTCGTACGAGATGAATAATAATTCGGCCATGTTGCAGTTATTTTAAGGCGGCAAGTTAATAGTGCTTTTTCTCGTCAAGTCGTCACAAAAGTTTACGAACAGTGCACGCTTGTCGTTGTATACGTTATACGAATATTCATGTTTCGCGGCAGTGTATTTTTTGCGAATGCCGTTGTTCAAGTCTTAAATTTTTGTCGTTTTAGTAAAAAATGATCGTCGGTTCTTGTGTTACAATGTCAGACGTAAGTTGCTTTATAATTTAAATTTACATCAGTCGCAGTTTAGGTGTATAATACACAAACATTTTACAAAATATATGCSTAATAGATAGATATTATAAGTATGAAATATCATATATGGTTAACCAAACCAAACATTTATAATGGTATTTACAATATTCATGTACATCTTACCGTAACAAATTTGTTTTGAAGTTCTCGACTTTTTCCTCTCTTGTCTTCTAGACAAATGGTCTCTAACCAATTGCATCGCACGCTTACCCAATATATTTGACGGCCAAAAATCATAATTAGAAACTAATTAACACGTTTTATTAAAAAAATATATGAAAATTCAATCGACACAAAAATTAATAAAAACAAATCGATGGATGAGTTTTGACGTTTACCTTCAGACTCTGCTTTAATAATTAGACCCACATGGTTTATAATCAAATATGTTGTGATGGATATGGTAAAAATAGTTCTGGTATAAAGTTTGGTATGCATGTTATGGTTTATAATATAATATAACTGATATGTTTATGAGCTTCGATGTTCTAAAGGAGCGGATCTCACATGACTGTTTAAAAAATCAAGACTGATAAAACTACAACGTTAAGAGTTCACTGGATTATATAACACTATAGTATCAAGTGTGTTAACTATTATATTATTATTGTTCCTTGTTATTATATACATGTTTTTTTTTAAATTTTACTTTCACTCTGTTGAAGGTAAACTCTATGATATTATACTAAAGAGATAGGTATTAGGTAGGAAGGTAGGTTCCTACCTTTACAGTTACAAAGAATTTACACGCTGACAGCTGGTTATGTACCAGATTATGATATACATGCACGCATGTATAAATTACACTAAGTACATGTTTTTTGATTTTCAAGAAGGATTTTTATAAAAAAAATACTCATACTATTGTACTGTAGGTACTAAAGGTAATATACTGATATAATATCATAAATTCGTAACAGTAGACCGTTAAAAAATAATATTTCTATATATTCTATCGAGGTTATAGGTATATCGTATATACGCGTGACATTAACTCCAACATATAGCAATTTTAATGACGTGCAGCAATAACATTTGAACATATGTAAAACATTTTTTTTTAAATAAATTAAACTTAATTGAAAATTTAAAAAAAATGTAATTATGTTTATAATATATTGGTTAAAATCAGTATTAAAATTTAAAAATTTACATCTATATGAGTTATATGACACTATCTACAATATTATATTGAATACCTAAATTAAAGTTACAATAAATATAGATTTGCCTAAATGTTAAAAAAAAAATATTAGGCATTCAAATAGTAAGTGATTTTTCTTTTAACCATAAGACGTATAGTTTGTGATCTATCAAGTTTTATAAACATTTCTCAACAGTTATATTTACCTACCTTTATTTCGTTTTCGTAGTACCTAATACCTATGCGTGAGGGTTCCTACTCCTCCGATACCGTATCGAAGCATGGTGGTCGGTGGAAGCATTTAAACCGGTTAATAATAACAAATACATATTTATCCAATTTTTAATATTGTTGTGCAATAAGCTTATATCAAACTCGATATTCGAATATCATATACTTTATAAAHTTATAGTAATTGTTTTTGTTTTTTTAGTGCATTTTTTATATGACTGTCTTAATTATTTCTATAAACCTTTATAATTAATACAAAATTAGTTATAATAATTAATAATACATTTTATCTATTCAAATGTGGTGAATCATTTATAATAAATTAGTATGAGATCACCTTCCCGTAGTAGATTACTTGCTACATGAATGCCTTAGAAATAATAAATCGATATGGAATATGAAAGAAGTTATTAGACTACATAAAGTTATGACTTTATTTTTGATACCTATTGACCTTTAAAATACTAAAAATGTATGCTCGACGCTTTAATATATCTTAATCATCTTCTATTCTTGCACGTACAGTTATACATCATCAATAAACATAGAGGTTAAACCTTAGATGTTTAGATTTTATTGCTTGTATAAAATTAAGAAGTAACAATGACATTGACAGTATTACTTCTTACCAATACTAAATATGTAAGAGTATACTATATGTAAAAGTATTATAGCAGCTAGCTGGTACTATTATTCATTGAATGCTCTAAATATGTGAAAATGGTATGTATAAGCTAGGCGTATTTACTTTTCATTATTATGCATTGTAGTCTATAATATACCGTGTAAAGCGTAAGAAATATCCACTAACCAGTCATGTGTCTAAGTCAATCTTCATTTATAAGTATTTCAACATGAAATACATATAGTTAGATACCTCATATTAWTTAAAAATATTATGTACGTTAGTACGTAATTAAATATTTAAATATCTGCATAGCTATAATATATTACACTTATGTGTCTTGAATAGTTAATTTTTAAATTAAATTTTAAACTTAAGTTTTGAAAAACTTTTGTAAATGTGCTATTCAAAATATTATATTGCATATTTATACTATTAGATATTCTTTCTGATATTAATCGATAGTTAATTCAAAATATGGTTGTCATTTAATATATTTATTCGATGAATGATTAGGGAGATGGTAGACTGCGGCAAAATTAATCTTTTTCTAAAAGTCGATATGTAAACTACGGCAAAAAAAAAATTAAGATTATACAATCTGCGGCAAAACCGATAGATACATTATACAAACTGCGGCAATTTATTTTATATACCTATGTATATACCTACCATATACGTATATCGTTTAATTTGTCTTGCGTACAAATTGGTAAGGTAAATCCAAATGTATTTTTAAGATTTAACGAAACAYATCGGTAATATCGGTTCCTTTACATTTGATAATACTAGTGGTTTAGAAAATTACAAAATTTGGGTCTATCTAAACTTTACATTGAAGAAGACACAGATGAAGGAAAATTTTTAA